TTATTGCCAACAGCTCGTCACTGTCCTGGAGTATTAGATTTCTTAATTGATCGTCCTGATCGCCAGGGATCGACACCTTCCATAGCTTGAGCCTGTCTGCGTCTATACCAGCAAAGTCATTTTGTTTTTTCTCTTTAATAGCGTCCTTGAGGTGGCTAACCAGCTTTTCCCTATCAATATCTATGGCAAAAGCACTAGCGGTCGTATTTCCTTTGACGAGACATAGTAAAGTGATAGACATGTTTTCGGCTTATATAGTATTTTTTTGCGAAATGTTATTGGCTCAAAGTGCGGTATGTGAGGACAAGAGTAAAAAAGAATTTTATTTGCGAAAAAATACTGAGGCTGGTATATGAGAGAAATTCAACTGTCACACAAGAGACCGATCACCACTTTGCATCATAAGTGCAAATCACTGCGCCTCCTTAACCGTGAAGACTCTTCTCACTTATCACCTGACGTTTTTATATAGGCTAGTGGCTAGATTGGTTCGGATAAAAATATTAGATTTATGCTTTAGCGTCTTCGACTAGTCCATGGACCGCACCATTACACGTGACCCTTTTTCATGTACAGTACAATAATAATACTTTATTTATGAAATAAAAATATTGCCGAAACTGGCTTAACATTACATAAAAACTATTACATAGCATGATGAAAAAATACTAATTATTTCAGAAAATGGACAGCGCAAGCGGATCTCCTGTAGGGATCGCGCGAAGTTTGCTTTCTGATTCGCTAGAGTCCAATATCCGAGGGAGGCTTTTTTTCCAACTCCACCTGGGGGTATATGATGATGTTAATAGGTTTTAAGCCGGCTATTTTACCTTCTTCTAGAGGAAAAGGCGATGCAAAGTCTTCTTTTCCCAAGGAAAAGCATCGAGAAATTTTTTTTTGCTGGTCCATCCATACCTCTTGTCTTTTTTCAGGTTTATCGCTATTCACAGTATTGATTAGAACATTATTTTCTTGAAAGAAATCTTACCTATATAGTTCGATGTTTATTTCTTCTAAATCTGGCCGGTCAGTTTTGATCTTAGCTTCCAGGTCACTAACGGTCAAATCCCTATCAATTATTACATTGAAAATTTTGACCTCACTACGAACGAAGCAAGTGAAGGTGCTAGACTTCTTACTTTCCTAAATTCATGGTCCATTGTGAGAACTTTTCGCTTGCATGTATACAAAACTTTGCCAGGCTGAAAGCACTCAGGGTAGGCGCTTCGCATGGCATATACATACCTTATTTTGCGACATTTTACGGATATTATTTTTGCGGAAAGTTGGCTGAACTTTCACATACCCCTACATGCTTTATATCTTGCTGGGAAAAAGTTAAGGAGGTATGAGGCGTAATTAGTATTGTCGTCTGATGCCAAGAGTTTTATGAAAGCACATGCAAATGGAATCCTCATACCTTTTCACATGGAGATCTACCGGAAAGACATATACTTGGTTTTATGCTTAGCGATCTCAAAATTGTGAGTCCACCAGACCTTCATAACATATGCTTTTACCGTAACTATTTACTTTTAGAGTTGGTCCTGTGTTGCTTGTAGACATTCTTTCACATTTTTCTCATGTTTGTTTGGGAAAAAATAAGAATAGGAAGTTAATATTTGTTTGCAAGAAATTACCCTGTCGCACAGACTTGCCTGTGTGATTAACAATTACATCATTGTGCTTCTGATTTCGGACTATTGCTCCGGACTGGCGATCCCTTATCCGGTTTAACTTTATTATATGGTAGATCAGGATCGGAAATATCATACGGCAACGGTTTATTAATATCTGATTTTAGTAACTTTACCATGTTTCCAACTCCTCCAGTCTATTCATTAGTGCTTGGGCTGATTCTGCAAGCTACAAGTTTATAATTGTTTTGAACTCACGAGTCTTTCAGCTACTTTTCTATGCGTGTATGTCGAAAAAATTAAAATTTTCATTTCGTCTGTGTAACCTTGATTTTTTGGCTTCAGTTTTTTTGGTGCTTGATCAGCCTGTGTAACATTTGAGTTGGCTCAAGTTTATTTATCTAACCTACTCCAGAAATGCCAAGTCGGGTGATTTTCACCATTGCGTAATTACACTTGGATGGCAATGTTGATCATTACATTAGTTCAGACCAATAAACAGATTTTTATGATAAGTTGCAAGTTCAACCTGTCAAAATGCAAAAATCGACTCTTTTTAATATGCCAGCATTTGATTTTCCAAAAACCGTCTTGAAATCAAAGGAGTTACAACTAACTTCCTTAGTAATTCTGGGAATACTTACTTATCGTTTCATTAGTAGTCGTCATATTGGGAAAGACCAGAAGACTGTTGAGAGCCGAATGCGTCGAAATCGGCGAAAGGATCCTGGTAAGAAATTTGAAACAACATTTTCCTTCATATAATAGTAATATATGATGAACTGTTTCAAATATTTCTTGGCTCATCTTAACATATTTTCTTTTCTTATTAAACCCAAAACAGATAGAACCAATATTAGACCGTCAGGACACGGACCAGAAACATATGATCCCCGTATAGATTATGATGACCTCGTGTGGCAACTATATTATGAATCGCATAAGGGAGAAGAGGAAGCTGAAGAATTAAAAAGAATGATGGATTCATTGGGAAAGTGATTTATTGTAGTTATTCTACACCAGCTAACAATAATGTTATCTAATGTATACAGTAACATTTATTTTAAATTTTAGTTAATTACAATTATGTCATTTAAGATATATCATGTGATGCTATTTGCTAAAATACTAGATTCTCAATTTAACCTTTTGCATGAAGAGATTTTATTAATAATAATAATGCTATGGTGACATCATTGCCATTTGAGATTTTATAACATTATCTACGGTAAATAGAACTAAGACTAATTTTATTAACTATACAAATAATTAATGGTTTTTTCAAGCCCTGAACGAAATAAATCTCGTCATCTAATAAAGATGTGTGCATCGGTGCCAGTTACTAAATTTATGCATTCGAGGGCTTCATTGTGTTGTATATGAAAGTTTCTATGATCCGGATACCACTTTTTTTTATGCGCAATCTTATTTCTAGCCGATCTGTAAATGACCATCCACCTCATTTCATCAAAGGTTACATCGCCGAAATCTTCACCAATCTCTAAAAGATTGTATTTAATTTCATCATCACCTTCTTTGCTAAGGTCATACGCTTCATAAAATAGATGCGAGAATGATTCATATCTCTTGCCGTATCTTGTTTCGTATTCTTTAATGATAACTTTCTGCCACTGCTCCATGATCTGGCAAGTGTTATCAATAGAGTCTCGAGAAGCTTCCCCAAAACATTTCTCTACGGTATCTTTATTAATAATTAGTGTTAGATTCGACAAGGATAATCAATTCCATTCATATTATGGGCTTTACTTACTTTGAATTATAATTAACTTATCTCTATCATTTACAGCAGATGATACGTCCTCGTATATTCTTTTGTATATAGTGACGGTATCCGTAGTCCCAACAGAATCTTTTTTTTGGTAACAATTATTACCGGCTTTTTGTAAAATCGTAGCCATAATCTGTATTTATATTAAGAAAAACTTCTGTACGTAAAACAAACATGATATTTATGAGTAAAATCACTTACCAATAATAAAGGTATGACACATAAGCCACCCACGTGAATCGAAAAAAATAAACCTATGTGAGTACAGGGACGTTAATTCGGGACAAATCTGTAATTCCTAGCTCAAATTACAAATATAAGTTCAGGCCGTACCAATCCCAGCCTTACGTGAACTTAATACGTGATTTTTACGTAAAATTATTTCTTGTCGCCCAAAAGGAGATCAATTGACATAACATATACCAAATTATGCAACGCTTTCTTAATCCAGCATCTTCTATGCGGTAAATTTATTTAATTTTGCAATTTGCATAAAATCAACGTCCCTGTGCGAGTATGCGATCCGCCCGATAATTTTACTAGGCAGTTACCGGAGAAATAATAGGACTCATCACTGGTGAGACTTTCCTTTCGTATCTTCTGTCACAATAATAACCTTTACCATACCCATCATATTCATTATACCTCCTCTTCAAAATCACTGTCGTGACTACAGTCATCATTCACCTTATCTAGTACCTTTGGTGCCTCTTCATTCGTTACTTTCTCTGACTGAAATATGGGATCATCAAAATACGCCTCACCATCATAATATACCTTATCATAGTCAGTATGGATATCTGCCTTAGCTGTTATTTCTGAGGGAACGTGATTCTGATTTTCATTCGGATTGACTTGATCAATAATATATTGTATTTGAGGATTAAGTTTCTTATAATTAGACCTACACTCCACGATTTTATTGAGAATATGCTTGCTTTGTTATGATCAATTTATTTCTTGCAACATTCACTTGGCAAATTGTCAAGTTTTTCGATGCTTATTGATCCGAGAATTAGGAATTTCATCCGCAAGAGAAGAAACTCGATTGTTATTAGCATTAGATATCGGTACTTCGAAGATATCACTCGCTTCCTCACTAAGGAGAAACTTTTCAAGCTTGTCAGAAGTCTTGGGCTTATCAGGCACCTCGGTCTTATCGAACATTTCACTTCCCTAAATATAAGGCCCATAGTGAGAAAAACTCGCTCCCATACATACATAACTTCTAGCATATACATACCTTAATTTTTTCGCGGGAAACTTCCACATACTCCTACATGCTTTATAACTTGCTGGGAAAAAATTAAGGAGGTATGAAGCGTAATTAGTATTGTTGTCTGAAGCTAAGAGTTCTATGAAAGCGCATGCAAATGGAATTTTCATACCTTTTCACATGTAGATCTACCGGAAATACATATAGTTGGTTTTACGCCTGGCTATCTCAAAATTGTGACTCCCTCAGCCTTTCATAACATATAGTACTTTTGTCGGCACTATTTACTTTTAGAGCTGGTCCTGTGTTGCAACTAGACCTCCTTTCACATTTTTCTCACATTTGTTTGGGGAAAAAAAGATAGGGGTATTGGTTAGCGAATATATATGCGAAATTAATATGCGAAAATGTCGCACAGACCTTTTATGTGATTCGATGGCGCTGTGCATGGCTCAGCAAATTCTTCCGAGCTGGTAATCACCGCTCCGGGTTGATGATCAGTATTCCGGACTCAAAATTGAATGTATGCTAACCAGAGATAAACACAATCATGACAAGAAATACTAATAATGAATTTGTTCAAAGCAAAATACTTGAAAATCAACTATATGAAGTACTTTTGTACAAGAAGATGGAAGTATTAGCTATTCAGGAGCGCATAGCCGAAAGAAAACTTGGTATTAATGACAATGCAATCCAAACAGCATTGAATCAAAGCAAGAAAGCGGAAATACTTGATTATTCACTTGATTATACAAGTAAACTATTGTTTGATTTGGTGGAGAAAATTATATCGATAGAGGAGGATCTTGAGACTGGTGGCCACCCAATGCTTATTATATTACATCGATATAGAAAAGATCTTATGGATGTATCAATAGGGGAATTTTCACTTAGGGAAAAATAAGTGAAAAATACCATTTGCTTTTATATCTGGAAGCGGATATAAGCATGATTCAAGCTTATCTTGATATTGTCGGTTATACTAATGAAGAAACGATAAAAGAAGATGCTGAGAAAGATGTGAGAGCATATCAGTCACTGGAAATGTCACAAAAAAAGTGGGCAAATTTTTTTTATTAAAGGTCGGCAAAAAAAAAATTGTGGCGCAGTAATATCTTTAAATGTATATCACATATATATAATTTAAGTTGGCTGAAATTAACTAGATCGGGTTAAATTTGCCGATCAATAATTAATAATTCCGGCCAAAATTTTTGTAATGCTGGTAAATTTTATAATGCCGGCCTAAATTTTGCGAAAATTAAAAAATAAAGGTATAACGTAACACTACATTTTTATAATATGACGTTTAAACTTAAATAACAAAAGTAAAGGCACATGACCTCTACTTTAATTTTATTAAAAAGTTTTCTTATAGCGTTTATTACCTGACTTGGATCTCTCCTGGAAGTTGACATACTTTTTATTGTTAAAAGTAACGAAAAGTAGAAGAAAC